GAAATCGGATTAAAATGAAATACGTATTATACAATGTAAAAAATAAACATGCGACTAAAAAATAAAAATTTTTGAGATGCATTTTTTAGGGTTAGGGGTTAGGGCTAGAGGTTAGTTTTAGGGTAGAGTTTATAATAAACAAGTATAAGTAGGTTTTAGAGAGTTATATAGAAACTCTTATTTTATTTTAATCTGATTTCATTATGATTCGTGACAATAAATAGCTAACCTTAAAACTCCAAATGATTCCTGTATCGCAAAGTTGAAGATGTGCCATTGTGTTTGGAGGAAGAAACTGAAGCTTTATATTTGTCAGAGTCATGTTTTTATCAAGTCCATGAGTTAATACACCATCTAAAATAAGAAGAATTAACCACCAGCAAGTCATATTTGATTATCAAGATGCTCAATATAATAATTAAAAATTGATGTCTATATCCAAGCAGAACTATTCCAATAATAATATACTGGTAAGGTAGATTTATCTACGTTTTTGAGAGCTCAAGAAGTTTGGTATTTGTATATGAATAGGAGGGGGAGCTTATGATTGCTGTTGCATTACATGTAAGCAAAATTGTAACATAATCTTTGGCCTTTTTTTGTCCTGAAATTGGACTAGTTGCTAATGTTTTATTAGGTACTATATGCTAGTATAATGCTGTCTCATCGGCATTATAGACATCCTCAGAATAATACTTTTTGATTATTTCTTGTAATTCAGTACAAAATCTGGGAAGGTTCTCAAGAGATACATTTGCAGCTTTAAAACATTTGTATTCTCTTATATGATACTGCTTTTTAAAATTTGCTTGCCACCTATTAGATTCATTAAAGACTGTTATTTCAAGCCTTTTTGCAAGCCATATTGCTTTGCATTGAATTATGAAGCCTGTAATTGTTTGCAATAATGTATTCACCCAAGATATTCAAAGAGCCAGTGCCTCTTCCAACAAAGAAAATTTTTTAGTTCTTTGTTGCTTCAAAGAAGTATTGTTAGAATCTAAATTAAGGGATAAGAGCAGTGTCATTTATCACCTAATTTTTTTTATTAGAGATATACCCCCTCCTCTCTTCTTATTATATATTTAATTAGATCTTCATATATAATTTTAACTTTTTTTACCCCTCTTTCTCTCTAAAAAATCACCTGATTTTTGTCATTCCCCTAATTATCTTTTTTTTTTCACAAATATTTCCTGAAATTATTGCTTTAGCAACACTAAACCTTTCTACTAAATTAACTTAACTAACTCTTTTTTTTTTTAGATAATATATTTTAGCTTTTTGGGCCAGTAAGTCTTGTTCTCTTTGTATTACTTTCTTTATTAGGTTTTTGTTTTTTGTTGCTGACTCTTTGGAGGATTCTTCTTCAGTTTCTATTAGTATTATCTTGTAAATTGGATTGTTGATACAAGTGAATAAGAAAAAAAATAAAATCAAATACTTAGCTAAAACCTTAAAAAATTTAATAATACAATTTTTATATTATCATTATATAATTTATATATTATTATTTTATAGTTATAAGTCTTAACAACACAATTATAATATAATTATAATGCAATTTAATTTAATATATTAAATTTGTATTATAAATATATTGTAAATATATTTTAATTATTATATTATTATTGTATAGTTAAATATATTAAAATAATATTACAATTATATTATAAAAATATTGTAATAAATTAAATTAATTAGAATTAATAAGTTGTACAATACAATATAACAATGCAAATAATAATATATAAATTATACAATAATAATAAAATAATAATATAATAATAATATAAAAATTATATAATTTATAAATTATATTGTTTTAATATTAAAATTATATTATTTTAATATAATATCTGTATAATTAAAAAAATCTATGTTTCAGCTAAGTAATTTAATTTTTATATATATTAAAAATTTAAAATTTAGCTATTTTATATATAAATATTAGCCAAATTTTCAAAGTGGCCTCTTTATATAAAAAATAAAGCTGTTAAAAATTTTTATTTACTAAACAGCTACTACAACTAGGTTATCTGCACTGTATTATAAAAAAATTATTAGTATATATAGTAATAATAGAACTATTAGAGTTGATATAAATACAAATTTTTGTAGCTAAAAATTTAAAAACTTTGCCAATAGATAGTTTAAACAATATAATTAAACCATATTGATAATAAAAAATAAAGTTTTTTAGAATATTAATTAAGAATTTGACTAACTTTAACCCAATTATGCTGTAAGTTTAATCACCTATAATTTATTAATTAATACGTATTATAATAGAGTTGGAATTAGGATTAGGGTTAAAGCTAGAATAGGGTTATAGTGCTAAACATTTTTATTTAATGCTGTTTTGGGTTATAATAAGAGGGTGGTTATGTTAACCGGGGAAAGTTAACAATATCCAATAAAACACTATTTTTAAGTAATTACTGATTTCATCATATAGAGTAGTTTAAGAAATCAGAAATTATCTAAAAATTGGGTGGTTTTTTTTCTTTTTTTTTCTGACGGTCTACAAATTCTACAAGCTGCAATAACTGTAATTGTATGACCATATTAATATACTGTACGTATTTAATTATTTTTATACCCTGGTCACTATATCAATATCGCAGGGTATAAATCAGTTATACACTGGGTTCTAAGCGGAAATTTCATTTCCGCTTATACCCATGCCATCCAGTGTATAACTATTACTAATCGTTTAAATGAAATCGGTAGGAACTGGAAATTAGCTCAAGTCTGGAGTATATTTCTATAACATAATGATAAATAGATTCTTAATACAATAACTGCAAAATTAAAGCCAGGAGTGAATATTTAAATTTTTAGTGCGACAAACTTCGAAAAATTATAATATTGTGTAATTATCACAAATACTTCCAGGTTTTCATTTATATGGTTATACTGCCTAAGTTGATAAGGTTCAATGTTATGAAATAGTAATATGTATAGTATTTATAGGCTTAGGTACGTAGATTATCTTAATACATTGATTGATTAACAAACATATTTCTGTATTTATGCAAACTACGCTTTTGATTTTGGTCAATAAATTTAACGATTTAATTGCTTATAAAAATTTTGACTTGTTAAACAGTATAAAATAAATAAACGATTAATCACGATTAAACGAATCACTGTTTAAAGTCTTATCTGAGGTTTTACTTAACCGGATTTCGTAACCCGACATATAAAAATTATCATTATATAAAAAATTTTTATTGCGTATTTTTTATTGCGTCAAGAAAACGCTATTATTCGAAAATATTTGGTAAACTATTATTACTTAACTTCTAAGTTTACCAATAAAAAGTATTTATTTCGTGTGTTCCAAGTTTTTCACATAGTTCAGATTCGTTATGTCGTCTAGCATTTAAATTGGCGTGAAATTTGATTAAATATTTTTTTCGTTGCGAAAGGTTAAAGACTTTTCAAGAAGGTAAAGCGCCTATATCAGAATAGCATCGTATCAAATTTGGATATTTTTATTTATTATGCTGCATGATGAGAACAATAAATAGGATATACTTCGTAAAGAATTCCAATTCGCTTGATTCGTTATCTTCTACAAAATTATTATCGTTATTGTCAATAACAGTTGAATCAGTATAGGAGTTGTGCATTATCAGGTGATTTGCGAATTTTCACCCATATGGTTTTTTCGGCTTCTTCAATTATTGGGGTAATATGAATCTAAATTGAAAAAGTTATTAAATATATATGCAGGTGCGTTATTTTGAATTTTGGCCCGAATTAAGTTTAATTCGAGCCAAATTTCGAAATTACACCCCTGCGCGTTATTTCGCGAAAATACGATACAATAATATAAAAATAAACTTGTCAACCCTTTTTGAAGAATGGGCTATCATACTTCCTAAAGGACTGACAAGATGCTTCTGTATTATGTTGTTTATAATTATCTAAAACTTTTTTTGCCTTTTTTTTCAAGCTCTTGACGGCAATTGCACCAATAAGTAAACGTTGTCTTTTTGTTTGCTTAATATAATGCCTCTTATGATAAACATAAGAGTATCCGTCACCTTTCTCACTGAGCCTTACAATCTCAATCGCTATTAAGTTTGCATGTGATTCATAGTTTATCAATTCGATTTAAAATTGCATTAAGATCCATTCGTCACTCTCTTCCATAAGTTTTTATAAACTACATCTTCGATATTTTTAGATTCTATTGCACTTTCTTGCATTTCATGAATATTATTCACATTTTGCTCTTAACTTTTCCGTTTTTTGCCTTTATTTATACGTATTTCTTTATTGGTTTCAAACTCATTAATTAATTTGTTTCATTATTCTGCAAGACGAACATTTTTTTGAATTCGATTGGGTTGAGATTCCATTAATGAAAATATTTGGTAAAACGACACTTGTTATTGAATTACAATATACAGTATAAACAGACATCGTCGTTATTAACTCATTATTAACTATGACTGATACATTGCATCATTAAAATTTTGGTAATTAATTGATTCCAACTCCGTACTTAACTGATCGTGGTGGTTATGTTAGGTTCGTGACTTTAAACCTACACTATTTAGCATAAAAACTTTTATATTAAGATAATTTTAATTTTGAAGTTTGATGTATCAACCTTTTTGCACCGAATCATATTTAATTTTTAAACCTTAGTAAAAAGATAAACCATAATAAACTATATATTTTATTAATTGTTAATAAAAACATTGTCACAGGCATTTGTTTTCTGACAACAATTTAAATATCGCATAAAATTTTTTGATAAACATTTTCGTTGCTAGAGTCATAATTATGCATATGTAATCGTTCGAAATTTTGCGGTTGTTTGCTAAAAAGAAAAAAAAAAAGATGAATTGTGTTGTGATATAGTATAAAGAAACGAGTAAAATAAACGAGATGCGAGAAAAGATTAAAATTCGATAGATCTATTCCATGGAACACGATGATCCGTAAGTCCCAAACACAAAATTCAATTTAATAACGCCAAATTATTCGAATAAAGGTGGTAGAGGTAAATAAACGTCAGAAAGAGCCTCCATGGAAGAAACTGGAGTCATGGAATTTTCTCGAAATGATTTGAATTCGTCAGAATGATTTGTCGTCAAGAAAGGATCATCGGAACAATTAGAAATCGCTGATATAGAGCGATTCTCAAGGGAATGTGAATGATCACCCACATTGGTTAGCGTATTGATTGTAGAATTAATAAAAGTGATTGATCTGAATTCGTTAATGGACATATCAATTTTATCATGATATTCATCATTAATGCACGTTTCTTTCAATCTTTCTTTCGCAGCGATATTGTCCCAGTAGCATTTAACATGCTGGGGTTCATTCTCCCATTGGGAAGATATCAACTTCGATAAAGTTCTCATATCCATGGGAGCTTTCGGATTGTTGAAACATGGATTATTTTTAAGATGATAAGTGCGGTAAAGTATGAATCGATTCGGGGGCTTTTTTTGTCTCGGAGAATTTCGGGATTCCAATTTTCTTTTCTTTACCGATTTCATGACGATTCATTAAGTTAAAGATGTAATGAATGACTGATTTGGATTGGAATTTGAGAAGTTTTATAACTTATTTTCGTAAAAAACGAGTGCCCTTTTTATGTGTTTTCACTTTAGATCGTAATTATAATATAATTTGGGGTTCTATTATAATAATTTGTCTTCGGATTCATTGGTTAAAAACACATGTATACAGTATATGCACGTACTATGCTTATTTTTTTTTCCAAAAATGGTGAGTTCAATCATAAAGTGATGACATAACGATTTAAATAAGGAATAACTTACATTGTTCTCACTAGAAGTCCTAAACCTATTTTAATGTAATGATTCCGAAGAAACTCTTAAAATCCCAAACACTTTATTTTAGTGTGTTGATATCCTATTGACGCGGAATTGTGAGTTCCGTTCAATAATTTATACGCTTATTTATTTTTTTATTTTTTTTTAATTTTTGGTAAGAATATTTTACATTATACATGTGCGATAAAGCATACATATTTCCAATGATCTTTGTTTACAATAACTTTCACGAACATATGCTGCATAAAAAACATGAAAAAAAAAAACAAAAAGGAAAGAAAAAAAAAAGTCCGAAGATTCTCCTTGGCCCGGGTTCTTGATTAAAATCACGTCTACTTTTTGGCGTGCGTCACTCTTACCTCATCGCGTAACGTTACACATTATGTTGGCATATGAAAACAAACTTAATCTTTGTGTACCGTCACACGGATTAGGTTTGGTTGATTTATATGGTCATCGCACGTGATATTCCCAGGATTTATTTAAAAAGAAAAACAGGCATCTTACCATTTTTGAGAACAATAGTTTAATGACGTAGTACATACCAAATATTAACGTGACAATTTCCAGATAATGAGGAAGGTCAGGCGTGTCATTTTTATCTACACAATGCTATACAACGTGCTCAAAAAAAAAAAAAAGACTGTTTTACAAATTTAAATATCTTATATAAAATGACTAGAAACAAATCGGTTTCTTTACAATATAACTATATTGAAAAGTAAAACTTGTATATGTGTGTGTGCAGAATATACATATATATATATATATATATATATATATGAATTCTTTATTTTTTTTTTTTGTCTTGTACAATATGCTGTGAGATGTTAACACGCCATCAATACACAATAACAAAAAAAACGCATTGTGTCTGCAATTTATTGTTTTTTTTTTTTATTTCATTTTCCACGTAACCTTCAATGCATATAATTAAAAATTTTACAAAGAAAAAAAATTATCTCATGCTATCTTTAAAAAAGAAATGGCAACAAAGATCCTCTCATATTATAATTATTCAGCCTTTAAAGCATATCATTAATCCACAAACTCATCATTATCATTACAATTCCCATCGTTAATCCATTACAATCCACATTCCTAAAGCTCCCGTTCGATGTTGATGTTGTTTCGTTGAAATGCGGACCACTGTCATTTTGTGGTGAATTAGAATGTTTGACAGCATTTGTAGAGGGACTGGGTGTCTGTTGTGTGCTTACAGGTGGTTTAATTTGCGCGTTCTGGTCAGTGACTGCATTCGAACCAACCGTCGGAACCGGTGACGTTTTTGGCGAATTGGGTTGTTGACGATTTACTGGTGAGTTTGGTTGTTGCTGATTTATTTGCGGGTTAGGTTGTTGTTGATTTATCGGTAAATTGGGTTGCGGTTGAGAATCTGAATGCTGTGATTGCGGTGTTGTTGGTGACGGGTTTCCTAGCTTCTTATCCCCGAATGGAAGTTTTGGTCGTTCTCCTCCACCACCTTGTCCTCCCATTGGCGGCATTCCACCAGCCCCTGGTAATGTGCTTGTACCTGGCGTAGTGGTTCCGGGTAATTGGGCAGTAATGGCGTAGATTTGGAATGTAAGAATTAATAAAGTAATTATGAATTTCTGTTCACGCATTGTTTTATTATTAGAACTTAGTAAATATTTTGTTTCTTCTTTTTTCTTTCTTTTTTTTTTTTTTAAGAAATATCTTACGTGTTAATAGCGATCTGCTAAGGTATTTTGAAGATAGGGAGCGAATTGATTTGTGCTTTTATACACTTCTGGTTATCTGGAAATAAACAGTAATCGGTATTTTATTTATAATTACCTTTAAAGATGTCCAAATGCATCGTGAACAAAATGACGCATAGTTGATATTTCTTGTACAATCAAGTTTGTTAGATCTGATTAAATCCATTTTATTAATGTAATAGATATCATCCCCTAATGATTGATGTTTTTTGATTGTTTTCTCTCATGCATAAATCATACATATATCCGAGATCAATTATCAATCTTTTTTTTTAAATAAGAAAGAGAAGTATTTGATTAGTTGACATGAATGTATAACACAATTAATCATTTTCTATTTTGCGTACATAAACCTCTACTTAAGCGATATAAATGGTTAGGTTGGGCGACGGTAAGTTTGGGTAGCTATATTTAATAAATTCACATTTCTATAATCGTGCACTAAAGTTCTTTTTAGACAAATATGAAACCTAAATTTTTTTTAAAATTTTTTTAGACGAACCGTTTTTTTTCAAGATTACAGTAAAAAAAAAAAAAAAAAAAAAAAAAAAAAAAATTTCACGTTTGACCAATTAAATCGCAAGATCAACGTATGACATCATGTCAATTATTATCCTCCGAAAGCATGTTTATCCCCATATTTTTTAGCCAAATTAAGACCGATTTCAATAATGTGACCTCAAAAGGTTAATACTTTCGGAAAATACTAAACAAGTTATTATCATTATTTGATTGGCTCGTCAATTATGTTGCAGACATTTTTCAGAGTAGCTCCGAGGTTGTATTTGCCGTAAGATAGTTGCAGTGAGTGATGTAATATGCCGTATACGTTATTACTCTGAAAAATTTCGCTGACCAATCAAATTTCAAGTAAACACAATAGATCAATAGTTCAATAGTATTGTATAAGCGCTTTGCACAATTATAATCAATTTCATATACCATCCAACTGAATATACATAACCAAATCCTCTTTTGCAAATTTCTTTACCATATAAGCGCAAAATAACGCCACCTGCGCGTTATTTCGAATACACCCATGTGCATTATTTCGAAATTAGAGTATATTTTCTAAATCCGATAAGTTAACCTTCCATAACTGCACGTTTTTGGGTAAAAGTGCATTTATAGAACATTCGTTTATGGAGCATAATCTACATATAACGATAATATTAAATAATTACATTAGACCGATCAAATTATGTGCACTTATCATTATAGGGAAAGTTCATGTGAAGTGCAATTATAGGGAGTGTCGACTTCGACTATATATCATTTATCGCAACGATAAATTATGTGCTACATTAGGATGCGCGTTAATTCGGGATGCCATGAGCTAATGTCGAGAACATATAAGTTATTTTTGAAGGATCCGATTTTCAAAATAACGCCCACGAGCGTTATTTCGCGCTTATACGGTAATTTATTAATCAATTGTATTCCCAGAGTTCTAAGCTGAAATTCTCTGTTGCAATCATTAATATTCTCATTTTTGCTTGTTGGGATCACATGCCAAACTCCATGCTTTAAACGTGTTGTCTTTATTACAATGTGTACTTTTGCCGTATCCATTTTAAGGAATAGTTCGCTGTTGAAAGGTAAAATTTTATAGTCAAATACGGCGCAGTATTACTATTAGTTTCATATAGAGGTGGAATCTCAAAAGTCTCATTTTAATGATTTTACTACCATCAAAATCGTCTTAATGAGCTTTACACCTTTAATTAGAAATTTAAAAAGATTTATTTAGCAGAAAAAAACTTTTATATGTAATACAGCCAAATTCCTGTACTATAGAAAATTTATATTAAATTCCGACTTTGCTTATTATAATTTTAACGTTTAGTAATCATTGCAATAAATTATTATAATTTTTAATTTATTGCAATAATTACTAAATATTAAAATGATAATTATAGTAATTAAAAAAAGCCACTTTTTAGTTACTTTTCACTAATCTAGTATATATTTAAAATTTTTTTTTGATTTATTTTTTTTACTATAAAAAAAAGGTGAGTTTAAAAGTATGGTAATGTAAAACAGAATCAAATTGGTCTCACCTAATCACCAAAATCAGATCACAAAATGCAAGCATAAATACTTATTTAAACTTTGTTTCTGTCAAACAATTTTATTTATATTAACTACATTATTAAGCTTGTAAATTTAAGGATTATTTAATAAACATTGAGGTAAAATTAGTAAATTTAGTTGAATATAAATACTTATATTACATTATATACTTTTAACTGATTTAGTTTGAGTTTACAGAATAATTAAAATTAAAATTGGCAAAGCAATATAAGTATAAATACTTATACTGTATACTTTTTGTTTACAACTATTTTTTGAATTAACAAAACATATATAAATAATATACAGGGTATTAAAAGGTGCATGTTATTATGTATTTATATAGTAAAGATAAAAATCTATATAGTAGCTAACCAATAAAAATATTGCAATTTACAATTATACAATTTAATCATATAATTTATATAGACAATCTAAATATTATTGTTATATACAATTTTTTTTAGTATATAGTTATAGATTATAGTATTATGTAGAGTTTCTATCTATTATTTGTTAATCCATTTATCTAATGGATATCCAGATCTGAATTTATTCAGATATCCAGTTTACTATTGATATTTAGATAATTATCTGAATATTTGTCAGATTTTTCAGACACCAATAGTAAATAGATATCTAGATAAATTCAGTTATGAATAAATAGATAACAGATTTATCTGGATTGGATCTCTAGTATTATGCTTTTAATTTTTTATTTTTTATTACAAAACAAATCTTTTATTATTTTAAAAAGCTAGTAGAAAAAAGCTTATACAGTTATACCTCTATATAATCACCTAATTTATCTAGCACTTTTTAGAGTAATTAAATAAAATTACTTTTATATTATTACATAATATATATTATAATATATAATGTGATTTTAAAAAAATAAATTATTTAGACAACCTCTCAAAATCAGTATGTATAATAAACAGGTTTTGTATTAGTTTTGAGAGATTATTAGATTTAAAAATTTGACAGATTATTAGTTTTAAAAGAGTTGGCTATATTTAATAAAACTAATTTTATAACAAAGTAAATTGTAGTATAATTAAATTTACTTATTTAACAATTATTTTAATATTAAATTAATAATCTGTTTATAAAATAAGTTTATATAATACAGTAATATAATTTGTTTTTATAAGTATAAAATCTTTATTACTAAAAGTGTTCTTAAGCAGCATACTTGATATAATTTGTATTAATTAAAATAGTACACAACTATTATAGCATTATTAATTAGACTATTTTTAAAAACTAATAATATAATATTAAAAACTGATAATAGATAATAATATAATTAATATGTGTTTATATATTTTCTATAATGAATTAGTTTAGATAATATGATCTTTGATGGTGCTACAGGAAGACCAAATTTAGAATTGGAGACCGAGACCGGAGAACCAAGCGACCAGGTCCTTAAGTAGGGGACACACCAGCCGAACCACCGGGTTGCCAACCGGAGGAAAAGGACATGTGCTCTGGAAGCATGTACCAAGGGAAAGGAGACTGTAAGACACCTAAAGCCTGGGCAGACCAACCCTTCCAGATTGCCAGCTGGAAGTAAGGGAGAGACCGGTAAAGAATCCAAGGAAGAAAGAAAGTCTAAATGTGGGTACTAGGGTTGTGCGAACCTTACAAGGGTGAGGAGTACATAATGGAAGACTAATTAGGAAGGTTGTGGTTTGAGATATGGATCAGGTTACAGCAGTATCCTAAAGGATAGCTTGAGATACGAACCTGGTGATGGTAGCACAACAGGTACTAGTTAGAAGGAAATTACCGAACATGCAGGTATAAACATGTGTGGGACATAGACTACTCTGTTAGGTTTACCTTATGGATAGATTAGCCAGAAATGGTTAGTAAGTCCTAAGGTGGGTGCATAATCTACAGGCATCACAAAAACCTACATATGAATAGTAAGTTATACCTTGGTTAGCTTAGAAATAGACAGCAGTTATAACTAGAGGGTTTAAATGGGTATTCTCATAGTTGGGATGCAGGTACAGTAGCTAATGTGGAACCTAGGGCAGACTATTTTAATAGGCAACCAAAAGTTGCATGTATGGCTAGTCGTACTTTTATTAGTAATAATCAGAGAGTTTAAATAGGTAATCTCCTAATTAGGTTGCAAGTATAGCAGCTAGTATAGAACCCAGACGGACTACTTAAATTAGATACCAAAAGTACACATGTGGCTTGATGTACCCTCAGTGTAACTATATAACCTGAAGTTAATAAGTCTAATAAAAAGTCTCTGACCATAGAGGTTACCTTAACACCCAAAAAAAAAAAAAAAATTATATACTAATTTGCAAATTCGTCTTGCTCAAAAACTCACCCCCTGCAGATTCTCGTACCAAAGCTAAGCTAAAGAAAAATGCAAGATAGCAAGCCAGGAGTACTAGAAAGCAAGCTTTCAAACTTAAAGAAAAAAGATGCAGCACCAAAAGTTGTACTAGTTTTAATAGATCCAACCCCTAGCTAAATGCTTAAAAGAAAAAACAGTTGTTTTTTTATTATTTTGATGAAAAACTTTCTAAAAAATCATATTTTTTGGGAAATTGGCTTTGATCCTGTTTTGCAGATCAATTACAAAAACAAACAACATGTTATATATCTATCATTAAGTAAACAAAACTAACACATTGAATAACAAGAACACACGTATTAGAAAAGAAATAAACAATAAAGCAGTATAAATTACACAAAAACAAGCTACTCACATGCAGAAACCAAAACGTAAATCTAGACTCAGAGTAAGATAGAGCAGATTCAAAAATTTCAAGAGCTTT